AAGTACCCGCTTCTAGAGACAGCTTGCATAATACTTTAGGTAGAGTTCGCAAGTACATTACGCAGAAGGTGTGCGCTTCATATATACAAGTTTTTACGGAGGTGACAGTGTGAGGTCTTACGAGGCCCCCGGTCAGTGCCACAGCCCCCCTGTCACCCCGACCTGCTTTGATGCCGCGACTTACTGAACGCGTCGACCAGTCTCCCCTCGCCATTGCTCTCGAGAATGGATTACGACGTCGCCTTTCCCGGTCTTATTGTGACGCGACTCCTCCTTGCTTTCGCTCCTCTACCAGACTCTCTTATACATGACCACCAGCTCTCGACCCCCTTGACATCATACCCTCGCCGTAAGGATTGCCCAAACACACTCGCCGTCTTGTATGAATGACCTCTTTGAATAGTTCTGGAAGGCTTGTATCTGTTCCGTCATGGTGTAGATCCATACTCAGGCGGTCTCTTTCGACACGTCAGTATACACTCCATCCGGGTGCACTTCGCCGTGGCTGATTCTGGGCTTCAGTCGCCACTCCTTCTGTCGCTCTTCAGTACAGCACTGCCACTAAACCGCTTCACAGCCGCTCTAATATGGACAGCTTCCGACGCTGCCGCTGCTTGGGCACTTGTTCACACCTGGAGAGCGCGTCAGCAGGTGAAGGGAAAGACCTCGAGGGACAGCTTGATAGCAGCGGTGTAAGTTGCAGGCTTCACTATTTCTGAGCCGTCATCTTGATTAACGACAGTGGATGAAGATACTTACTTAATCCTTACATCCTGCTACCGTCGCTTGCACTATCGACATCGAGTTTCGAGAACACGGCGCTGTTGTTGAGTGTCATGTTCGCTGTACAAGGTACGTTCTCCTTGCACTGCACTTTAGGGACGTTAATTTAGAGCTCGATAGCTCAGACATCTTTGTCTTTGCTCTTGCTTGCAATTGGAACCCATCTTGCTTTGACGTCCTGGCTATACCTCCCACCCTTGGCCTTACTCTGCCTTACTACACCCGTGTCATATCTTGCCTCACCACGACCCCTCCCGTTTTCATCCAACGAAATTACGAGGAAGCTCGGGACACTGGCTACAGAGTACAGCGCATATCTACTCGCTCTGGCCGGCGCGGCCACCATCGTTGCAGGGGGGGTCGGCTGGCTTGACAAGACTTGGGGCGCAGTGTACGTTCACCCTCCTCGTTAGCCATTCATTACCTGATTGCGCGCAGATTCACTCTTCCAGACCTCTCGCCAAACGTGGGTTTGTGGTGGTACTTTTTCACCGAGATGTTCGACCACTTCCGACCCTTCTTTTTGATGGTCTTCTCCGTACGTCCTTTCTACCATACCCCTTCGGCGTGTACTGACCTCGGTTTGTAGATCCATCTCGCTGTATATCCTATTCCACTCGTCGTAAAGTTCCAGCACGACCTGCTGTACGCTGTCTATATCCTCACTGGCATTCTCGCGACTTTCAAACCGTACCCTTCTATTGCGGATGCAGGCCTCTTCGTGAGCATGTCCGTGCTATTTCCGGAAACATACCAGTGTATGTTATCTTACCTGCCGACCCTGACGTTCTGCTGACCTCGATATTCATAGATCTGCGAACACCCTTCCCCACTTTCCTCATCCATCTCCACTCGTCATTGCTATTACCCTTGTTCCACCACCTATGGCTAGGAAGTGGTACAGGAAACGCGAACTTCTTCTACGCGAGTACGCTCGTCTGGGGTATCGGCATGGGGCTGGGTGTCGGAGATGCGGTCTGGGCAGGCCTTCTGACCGGTATAAAAGGGCGGTTCAAAAATGACGCAGACGAGCAGGAGTGGGAAATTACCCAGGAATAAGCAGAGCTGCCTGCAAGGTTATTGTGGGCTTTTCGGTCATCAATGTTTTACGTTGCTATTACAGCCACTACTGCGCTCAAAGCCTGTATCACGGACGGAAAGAGTCCTTAGTGGGTGTCGGACGGCGTTCCGACCTGTTAGGCGAACGTTGAGCAGCCGGCCAGCATAACAGCTGCAGATGGTCAGGATAACTGGTTGTATTCCGTCGTCTGATCTCTTCTCTTCTGATCTACCCTTCGAACTACGACATATGACCCCTACGCCCAACCGGTGTCAAAGACGGTGATCACTAGCTCACATTCTGTGATTTTCAAGAGGGCTTAATACCACACCTCGGGTCGTACATTTTAATTTTTCCCCATTGGCATTGCTTGCAACTAGTTGCTAACCATATAGGATTTCTCTGAATTTTGTACATCTGCAGGTGTTCAAATTGAAACGCGACGCTGCCGCTAATTGTTGGACCTATAAGCAAGTGGAATATAGCAGGCTAAGATTGTTTGTCCTCCGCTACTCGACGAGCGTATTTGCCCTTCTTATCCCTGAGGAACAGCACTGTACCTATTGGGAACAAAATATCAAGTGAGCATTGTCAAGTCTCCTATTACAATGCAACAAGGACCACGTGCCTGTATCTTCGACAAATCTACAGTGGTTCCAGTTATACCAGAAAGTTTGAAAAATCGGCGTATCAGAGCACACGTAATGCTTTCCCATGAATAACTTCAAGTGCTCGGTTGCTTCGGCCGCATTATCTGAGTCGAGGTATTATCGCTCTCTGTTGAAAATTTGACGCATGGGAAAATACTCACAAAAAGGAAGCTTAGGAAAATAGTGGTGCACAACGTGCCAATGGCTCGTTCCGTGCATGAAGAATTTTCCCTGCCATCCGAGAAAGTCGCGGTCGATGGTTGCAGCGGCGCCGCGGACGTATGACCATGCACCGTCGCGATACCGCGGGACTACAGGGTCGGTGTGATGGAGGAAGGTGAGGAATACGATCCAATGACTCATGCCGAACCAGGGAATCCAATAAAGGGGAACGACACTCCGCCAGCTGAATCTACTGATAACGAGAAGTGCTGCAACGATACCGACGTCTGACCAAATGATAGAGCTTCGCTGACTATCTCGAAAAAGGACAGCATAGGCTGTAATTGTGCATTCGAGTCATTAGTGTCAAGTGTTTTCCAAAATACAACAAATACACACGGTTGTAATGGCTGGTGCCTTTAGGAAATCTCCTTTGACCAGATAGGTTGCTAACTGTATGTCGTTTTAGATCAGACAAACCGAGATATTAGTGCATAGAACGTGCTTAGGTATGCTTGGAATGCGATAAAATGGCATGCAAGTAACTTGGCCATGCAGTACATGGGGGAGTCACCGAAATACTCTTCGAGTACACCTTCATCATGGCTTTCAGGAATTCCGAGGCCGCTTCTTGTGTCTGGTATCCAGAGTTCGTCACGTTCCATCGAGCCGTGGTACATATGGTGGTGGTGATGCGTAATCTTCCAGCTCCAATAAGGAGTAATGAGGCTTGAGTGAAGTGTCTACAAAACGAATTTGATGCCTTTGAATGCTGCACGGAAAGTGAGAAACATACAAACCCCACAACATCGGATACGACCCCGCTGGAAGAAAAGGCGCGATGTCCACACTTCAGGTTATCATGCGAGGTTATCATGTGAGACAGGATCGGAATGAATTTCAGATTTACCTCATGAGCAAGAATCCATAACCCGGTAAAAACCAGGCTCTGGGTCCACCAGCTGCATTCAAGAATTTAGTACATCAAGGGAGGAGCGGCGAGAGCTACTACTCACTATGCACACCACATGATGCATTTAAGGGCTAGAGTGACCTGAACGCAGAGGCCGGTGAATGGAAGTGATGCGACAGCGTATACAGATATCTCCTCTATGTGAGAGGCAAGGAACATTGCACCTCCACCGATTGCAAGGTCCCTCAATAGATATCCAAAGGCACGAACGGTACTGCGCTCAAAGCAGTGCTTTGGTATTGCTTTACGAATTTCTTCCAGCGGCCTGTGGGGTGATATACAATGAGAACGAAACATTCAGTGCTATGATACGGACCAGTGGGGAGGGGGCTCAAAAAGAGGGGCGCTCTCTTGAGCATTTCGATTATCATGGTAAGTAAGCCCTGACTCTTTCACATCCATGTTGGACAATGTATATGACAGAACAGAACGACTGATAGCGGCGGAGGAAGTTAGTATGTGGGTTTGCTGATACTTCGCCTTCCGCTATATACCCGCACTGAGCTGCGAACGGGCCAGTAAAGCATTCAAGTTGTCACAATGGTAGAGAAGCTTGAAGTTTGCTGGTCCATCTTCTTGAGCCTATCATCGTGCGGGTATTGGTTAGAAAGGCGCCTCATCAGCGATGCATCAGCAGCCAGAGGCCATGGGACCTCAGAAAAACTCTATTCTTGATTTTTGAGCGGTAGCTTGGTTGCGATTTCGTTGTTTCATCTCACGTTCTGTCCAGAGTTTCTTCTTTGCCGAACATTTTATTGATTATCAAGACCTGTATGGGCGCTGTCTGCTCACTACTTATCCCGTTGCTACATCACCAATTTCACGCACGTAAATCGCTGTCTAGAAAACAGCCTGATTCTTGCCATTCACCTTCCAACTAAGTTACAAGTCCAGCAACTTGCGTGAAACTTAAAGCTGGGCGTGTGTATGACATGGGGAGAGCACTGGTATGTACCTACAACTATAACTTGAACACATTTCTATCAGGTCAAATGTACGCATTGACTATCAATATGATAATCATTTATAGCTACTGGAAGCATGGACACGTCGTTGGCTTTCCTAACCCACGGGCGCCCAGTGTTTTCCAAAAACCAACGGATGTATTAGGCTGCTAGCTATCATGCCTCAGGTATCGTACAGCTACCTGGAGACGGTCCAACACTCTCTAGTTCTGCTTGGCACTCAGATAAGTATCCCGGGCCGGGGCCTGCGCAAGCTCATGCAACGGCTGGCGCCGCGAGACTAGTCCATCATTTCTCTCGGATGAATCTTGGTAGGAAGTGAATTCGGACTGTATTAGCGAGTATCTACTATCATTATGTGAAAGACGAGAATTAAAAAAGGAAGAAGAAAAGACAAGAGCAATAAATTCGGATACGGGGAATCGAACCCCGGGCTATCGTGTGAGAGACGATAATGTTAGCCACTACACCATATCCGATATAAGTCTTTGTCCCGTTATAGCCTTATCTAGATCAATGCGCTCTGCTCTAGTGCTACTCGATTGAAGTTTTCAGCCAACTTGAAATATTTTGATTGGCCTGGTTTCCGAGGTTTTTATGACTGTTCATATGGATTCAGACATTGTTGTCTAAGTAGTACGCTCAATCAGCTGAATCCATGCATATTTTCTCCGAATTTTACCTGAAATGTGCTTGCCAATTAGCGATGGCCTAGGACTCGGAGTTTGCTCGGAGTCTTTTGTAGTATCGAACTCTGGATCTGGAATGTGAGTTCCTGCAAGCCATCGTGCGTCTTCTTCGTGGATGCATGTGATTAGTCAAATTTATCGACATGGCTTTCTGCAACGAACCCACCGTGTTCAGAGGGATTTGGTCTGGCCGCCGTAAAACTCAGCAGACAGAAAGTGGTAATGGATAAGCGCATCGTTGCGATAGAAGGCTGCAGTGTGAAGAGTTTTATAAGTTCGATATCCTAGACCTGACCGAGTATGCCTGTTTATATGCTGTTCTACGACCATGTATCAGGCGAACAAAGCTGCGGTATGCACGCTATGGTCCGGAAATTGTTCTCTTGTACTAGTACTAGTAGAATCTGTACACCATTCCATATATCTCCGCCCCGATATAATTTCCAATATCTTTTACCTGTGCTTCGAAGGCCTGAATGAGTCTTCCGCATGCATATAGACATGTTCAGAACGAGTGAAACACCGCAGTCCGGTCTCGCAACTTGCAAATACTAATTTTGGACATTCACGGACCGGAGCTGAGATAGGAAACGTAGCGTATGGTGGAACTTATAATCCCGCTCTTCCAACGCCAGTGTCGTGTACTCTATCCTTCGACAGAGGTGCATATGGTCCGAATAATGTGTGGCTAAGGAATAGAGTCTTTGAAATCGTGGTCGTCTTCGTAGTTTGCAAGAAGGTCTCGGATTGGATATACATCCACGTGATACGCAAATATGTCATGAACATCAAGAGGGACCCTAAGAGGCTTCAACTTGAATTCACAAAAGCTCCCGAGCTACAGCCCTTTCCATCGAATGATAGCACAGGCGTTGAATATCATGGTGTGATTTGAGATAAAAATAAAGCGACCATGTCTGTCGCAAATTACTACAATGAAGTGCATCACCAATATTTGACAATGCGACTGTGCCCGATCTTGAGAGTTTGGATATGAAATGTGAGGATATGATCGCTGCGGCACAGTTCTGACTGAGCCATATGTCGTGAGGATGCGGAACGCTCTGTGAAATATAATTTAGGTGCACTCGAGGAATGATAAGTCAGAAAAATGCTCCTACACGATGAAGTGCGCCTGCCAACTATTCTTCCGCCTCCTCCGCAGATGGGTTCTGCAACCACCTTGTGTCCTCTAGGTATTCCAAATCAGAACCGTGTCGTAACATGGCAGATCCGTCTAACTCATCCGTCTAACTCACGATGCGGTGCCCGAGCTGGAACGCCAAACACTCCGTCGGTCAGCATGCAGAAAGTGACGAGTGTGACACAATAGAGGACGACCGAAAGACGCATGTCGATTCGTGGCAGCCGTGGATGTGGATTAAGTCCGATGTCTTGTCACCCCTGCCAGTGCTACGGCCTTATATATGCTGCCGACGTCGCGCTCAATGTACTTGCAGCTATTGCAGCCGCTGATGCGCTGGCGGGACTAAAATCATGCTAGACCGGTGTTTTGTCATCGCGCTGCAGTATACGAGCCTCAGATGGCTTTGCTTAGTCCAGGCGTGTGATCTGCAGCCGAGGTCGTGTGCTGTTTCGATCTGGTATCTGTCAGTGGCATGCGTCTGTGTGAATCGGTGTGACCATACTACCGGCTGTCATCAGTCATCGCCACGAAGATGGGAATGGAGGACTCACTTGTTCCGGAAAGGGGCTTCATGAAGGATCGCAGAGCCTCACATCACACAATAGGCTTCTCGCACATGCTGGTTGACTACATGTCATGTATTTAAAAGTATGTACACACTCAACTTGAACCTACGACTTGCGATAGCTGGGTGCGCGGCACAGAAAGCGCACAAACAAACAGCCAACATTAGACACCAACATGATGCACTATAGAGGAATGTAAGCTACACTCGCTGACGATACTTCGTAAGAAGCTACCCACATCACTTCGGCGCGCATACCTAGCTAGTCTATGGCTTCTTCTAGAGGCTACCGCTTATCAGCAGCTTCGAGCCAGATGTTCTCCTCTGTTGCGCTGTCGTCAGAGCACTGTCGGACGTATCGTAGGAACATACAACTCACCATGGGGGACTAGGCGGGTGGGGTTAGCCGCGACGCCACTGACGTGTGCACCAAGGGTACAAACGACAACAAGCGCGACACAGGAGAGGACGGTAGAAAGACGCATAACGGGTAGCGACGATTACGAGTTACGGGTGCTTTGTGGCGGATTACTCCCGAGGGTGTGTCTACCTATATAGCGACTGGGCTTGTTTGTCTGTTTGCTTCCGGCTATAATTTCAGTCTTCTCAATCAGCTACGATTCGAGAAGCACGCTTGTGATGATCCCCTGCGCCATGCTGCTTAGAGCCTCATAGGGTTGTTCGACTGAAAATATTCCCTGAGAAGCCAAAGAAGTTGTAGACCAATATCATAGGTGCTCAATGGCGGTGAAGATCTGTTGCCTTGTGATCTGGGATTTCGAGCGGCAATGAGCAATAAATGCAAGTACCGCGATACCGCGGAGCGATCTGCAGTGTTGAAACTTCCGCTGTCAATCGTCGACATGGGGTACATATTGAGCACGTACGAAAAATCAATCAGCTCATCATTGTATTGCCATCTAGCTCCCAAGGAAAGCGCGCTGGGATACGTCGTCTGCGGAGTAGTGATGCCGACGAGATTCAATCCGGTTTTTCCCAGTTGACGATGACCTTTCGGCTTGAGAACCTCTATGTGTGTTGGATCTTCTACATTTATAGCATGCAGCAGATATTGTAACTCACCAATGGCCGTCGTAGCCTGAATCTCCAAGTCACGTCAACGCCATCATCGGGGCGAGAGACTACAAGCTTGTCGTCTTCACGATGGATAGAAGCGTTTTTGTGAGACAACCGAGAGAAATTATTCAAGCCAGACTATAGACGACTAAACTCTAGCGCAGGACTCGGACATGATGCATCATGCCGAGAGGTAAGCCGCCAACTTCAAGGTGGCAGCAGAATCTCTCGGGGGTTGCCGATGCCGCCGCGCGCCTCGCGATCGCCACCAGAGTCCTTCCACCTCCCGCATGAGCATCATGTATCTGCCGTGCCTTGACAAGTTCATGTGCCGTGTGTTCTCGCATCTGCTCACTTATCTTAAGTATGGGACTTTCACCCCCTGCCTCCCGTTCAAGGCATGATATCCCGCAGCTCTTCGATCGGCACTCTCGCCGTGATCCTGCTCGTGACAAGTGTCTCGCTGAAGGTTCTCGCTCGCATGTGGGCCAATAAAGTCCTTGGCGGATATGAGGCTCTGCATGGTGCGCTATCCTCTAAATCATCTATGGTCGCATTCTTATGCTTTCGCAGAGACACTAGACGTGGGCCGAGGAGAGGTCTACCTGGCCTTCGACAGCTGGACACGGTACAAGCTCGACTCTTCCTCAGAGTGGGCCGCACTGGTCCCTGGAGATGGACTGGTACATCTCGGACCTTCTAAAGAGCCATGCATCAACTTCGCTGTCTGGACGTTATCCGCGATCAACTCACAAGGCCGAAGGTCGACCGAGATGTCCACCTTACAAACCATTGCATGAATTATCTACGCCAGATAATTATGTGCCACGGTGACACCCACCTGGACCCCATCCTCTACACCAGCGACACCAAGACGGTGGAAGACCATCCCGTCCGCCGATGTCTTGACTGGAGGGCAGTGTATGACAGGGTATTCAGGCCACAGGATGGCTCGGTGTAAATGGTAGACCCTTGGATGGAACGTAACGCTAGTTTCTGTATCAGTCACCAGTTTCCCATCCCAGGGTCCACCATTCTCAAGCATCCCAGTCCTCATCACGCGTTCTCACCCACGGCATCTCCGTGCCCAATTACATGTGCGGCCTATTGCAGCCTTCTTCCTGTGAAGATTATCTTGCGCTCATTTGACGCGTCCTAACATTCCCGTTGGACTCAATCATCAGCCCGTGGACACCGGCGGCAGCCTGTGCATTTCGGCGTCGACACGCATCTGGCAGTTCGTGCATCGGCGTTGACACGCATACCCCGCAGGTGCTCTCAATAGGCAACGCGCTAACTGTCGACACGCAATTTGCGCTCCGGAGGTCCGCTTCACTGTGGTCAAATTGATGCATAAGATGCTGGGTACTGCAGTGAGCCCCAGGTCGGCTCGTCTTGTGCCAACATGTCCGACTCGGCCTCGCTCTTCCTACACTCATTTTATCTCGGGAACGCATTTCTCTTCATCCTCTACGGTATGTCACGTACTACCTCTCACCACGAACAATATCCAACACATACCACCCGTTCTTGCAGGAGTCGAGCTAGTCTTCTACTTCGCAACACTATGGATAGCGCTGCAAAAGCACGAGAGACGAAAGACATCTAACTTTGTCTTCGTGTTCTTCAGCACATTTCTGCTAGTGCTAGTCACAATCGAAGTAGCAACGGAAGGTGTATTTGGCGAGCTTATGTGGATCACGGATGCCAACTTTCCTGGGGGAGCCGAAGGTTTCCTTGGTGCCAATGTTAATGTGTGGTATCAAACACTAGGTAGCGCGGCCTCTCTTGTGCTGACCGTTTGCAGCGACTGGCTGCTGGTACGTTTAGAACACATCATTTCCTCCTGGGCCCGACTCACTCGCCCTTACTTAGATATGGCGATGCTATGTTATTTGGAACAACTGGCGTGTTATTATCTTCCCCTCCATCCTTGGACTGGCGAGCACCGGTACGCTGATGTCAGCTCGACTTCTGTATACTCGCTTATGTCTACCCGGT